GGAAGAGAGAAGCCACCGCTGTTGACATCTCACACATTCCCTTCTCGCATCCCAAACCCTCCACGCTGTACGCTGTTTCTAGGGAATCTGTCAGCCACACAAGCAACTGCAACTCAGCTGCTGAAGGCAGAACAAAGTCTTTTTTTTTTTTCTTTTTAAACTTCAAATGAATGTCTTAAATTATCGGTATGTTCATAATGAATTCAATTAACATGTTTATAAGAACAATCAGTTCAGGCTATTCTGCAACTGGGAATTGAAATCACCCAGCCAAGGTGAAGATAATGTGGATGGGAGGGGGCACGAAGCCTTGTCCCCCCCCAAGCAGGCAACAAGTGAGCTGGGAACAAGCTCCCAAGAGCAGGACATGAACTGAACTCCCCCTGCTCAAGGCCATAACTGTAAGAGGTGCAAAGGGGTTATTTTATAACATTCCATTTTATTTTATAATATTAATATATTAAAATATTACATTAAAGACTGGTGTCAAGATATTAACAGTGAGAGACAAGTACAACAGCCTTGCTCTTCCACTGCTGCAGTGCAACTGTTCCCCGCTGCTCCTGGTTTAGAGATGAGGAAGCTAAGTCCCATGTCTCACAGCAGAAAACCTGGGTTAGAGCACCAGCTAGATCTACGCCTCATCCTCCAGTTTTCCCCTGCCTTTAAACAAAGCTAGAACACAAGCAAAAACACACGAGAATGCTGTTAAGGGCTTTGTAGTGCTGGCTTAAAAATAGCGTAAGCACAAAGCACTCCTTATGTCAAACAGCCAGTAACAAGCTACTAGAATAAGCAGTATGGTTTCTGTTTCCTCTATTACTGGGCAAATACACGAGCATGGACACACACGTACAGGATTTAAAAGGCCTGGAAATAAAGTGAGAGAAACCGCGTGCGTTGTCGGACAGTGGAGGGTATTCGCAGCAAGGAAATTGTGTCCCGGTACATCAATCAATTAACTTCACTATGGCCAGGATTTGGAGCAGAAAAAGCAAATCGCCTTGGGATCAGGGGATGAAAGGAACTGTGCGAGTGCAAGCAGTGTTCCCTTGCTGTCATAGGAAACAGTTGGCTTTGCCTGGGTACGCAGTTTTCAGGAACAGAATCTCGTAGCCAGAAACACTGTCCTGTTGGATATGGTAAAGCCAAAGCAAAGGCAGCGCCAGCCAGGACAACTGTAACAGCGGGAGAAAGAAGCTGCAGCCCACCCCATAGCAAACACGCTCCCTCCTCCCCTCCGAGATCACCAGTTGGGAAGAAAAAAAGAGCTTTGCAAAATACATCAGAAAGCACTCCTTTTTCACAGTGACTGTGAAACACTCTGCTAGTCCCAAATAGGCTCATACAACACTGCTTCGTTCTCCCTTAAATCGTACCTTCTAAGGGGGGCAGCGCCACTTGCCGCTATTCATACTCCTCTAACCAGCAGACGGTGTCAGCTGCGACACAAAGCAGCACATTTCAGGAAATCACGGCTCCAATCTGGCGAATCACACCTTTCTGCTTCGAGGCTGGCAGACCTCAGCGTGAACCACCCCCCCCCCAAGAACCCAGCCCATCCTGCACAGCTCACCCTGCCTCAACACCCACCCGAGTCCCAACGCCAAGCGCCTCTTGCCAACGGCAAACCTGACAGCTGAGCGCTCCGGCCCTGGAAGGCACAGGACAGGACTGGTTCTCATGGGATATCCTTCCTAAAATCAGTAGCCAGTAGCCAACACCGGGCAAGGGAACGGGAGAAAGAACCAAAATAAACTTCCCTGAGGGCTGACATTCATTGCTTTCCCACAAAAGGAAAGCTGTTAACCTTTCATACACTAGCAGATCACCATCCGAGATCTTTACACTGAGGTCACTGCAACATTCCTAGAAATACCAGTGTTATTACTATGCACTAGGGACTTTTGTTGGGTTTTTTAAATTATTTTTTAAAAGTAATGATAAACCAGTCCTTACAGGGAAGTTGGTGACATGCTCTGCCATAAAAGCAGCTGTTAGGGGTTTTGGGAAGCCCTAAAATGGCTTCAGGTGGGACTGCACCCACCTGAGTCAGCTTCAGCATTTTGGGTCAGGAGAACATCCATCCAAATCTTTCAAGAAACTGGATTAGTAGAGCAAAGCAAGACACTTGAAAGAAACGGCAGTTAGTCTCGGAGGACAAGATGGGCACAGGCAAGAGAAAAGGACAAGCAAGAGCGTGATTTCAGTGTTTTCACTGCTCAACCATTTACCCTCCTTCACCAGCCAAGAGGAATAAGCACGAACACCATGCAAAGCACTTTCCATATGATTTCTGGGAACTATTTTAGGGAATTCTGGAGAAGTGACTCTAACAGCGAGAAGTACAGAAGAATATTCAAGAGTTCCCAGATTTTCACAAGAGCTCATCCATCTGCTTGGGTAGCAAGCAAGAATCAAACTGCAGATCTGACAAAGGTTCAGGCAAGTGGAAGCCAAATGAAACAATTGTAGCTTGCTAGAAGTTCAAAACAAGCCAAACCTCGAGACATTTCAGCTTCAAGGAACAGGAATGCAGAACATTAACATACCCCTGCCATGCAAAGAGTGGTGGCAGAGACAAAGAGCTGGTAGCAATGGGATTTCCCGGACACAAAAGCAGCTTGACAGACCGCAGGCAGGGAGCTGAGCTGCCGGCTGCTGCCAGAGCAGCATTTTAACTTTCCAGTGCCTTAACCCTGCTTTCCGATGTCTTTTTTTTTTTTCCTCCAGGTGATTATCTGAGATGCTTCAAGGCAGACAGAGCATGGCTGGGGGTTTTTTGCCACCCACAGTCCCAGGGAAACCATCAGCATTCACACCAAGAAAAAAAAAACCCCTCCTTGACTAAAAAAAGATTGCTGCTCAATGAAACCATGAAAGAGCAGTTACAGAAACCTCAACCATCTTCCAGGCTGCGTCAGCGAGCAATCGAGGAGGTCAAACTGTTGCTGAAAGAAAGACCAAGTCACTTCCTCCGTGCCGGATGTTACTGGGCAGGGGCCCTGAGCACGCAACAAAGTGAGTCAATGGCAAAGAGCAAACACCAACCGTCTATCTGCAAGACTCCCCCCTTGCCTCCAAATTCCAGAGACGTATGACTAAGTTCCCTTCCAAAGAATAAATGTTTTCCTAATCAACTGCTTCTGCGCTGGAGTGCCACACTGAATCAACGTGAACATCCCCTAGAACGGGGGGGATGGCTCACTGAACGCCCACCAGCCAGCCCTGCTGCTGCCCCGCGAACGCCGGCACGTCCCAGAGAAACTGAAGTAAGCCAGGGAGAAGCCTTCAAAACTTAACTGAAAAATGAGTAAAGATGGCTTACACTTTTAAGAAAATCACTAAGCCACATTTTTAATATCTTTCTGATTTTCAGACGTGACAAGGAACTTGCAAACACAGCACCTTTCCAGCAGAAGCGAGCATCGGTTTGTCCACTTTTCCCCCAGCCTTCCCCACGCCGTTGCTCTTCCTTCCGCTTCCTACCTGCTTCACATTCCCCCAGCATCAACTCTTCTCATCCATCCCACTCCCACCTGCCCTCCGGCAACACGTCCCCCCCTCCCCGCACTCTCCCCCTGCGCCGAGGTCTGCCCCTCTCGCACCGGTTGCTCCCTGAAGTCAGACCTGGAGCACAGGGTAAGTCCCACTTCCTAAGGTGTCCTGCGCAGGAGAGGTTTCCGATTGCATACAAAACCTGAGTCAGAGAAATCGCCACTGCAGTACAGGCTGGGTACCAAGCGGAACGATTTCAGGATTAAGTCACAGAAAATCTTCAGGTTCTGACAAAAATGAAGTTTGCACCTCGACACCTTGCAAGGTGTTCCTCCCTTACAGGTTTTCTTCGGGCACTGTAAGCACGAGGGTCATCAGCGGCAGAACGTCACCACTTCTGCGTATGGGTGCTGCTATTTATACAGACAACGCTTCAAGTAAAATACACAAAAGCCCCTAAAAGCTGTGTTCACTGTCATAGTGAGCAGTTGCAGCTCCTGATTCAGTTCCTCAGCTGTTGGGCGGAAAATTCCCCATTGCTGAAACTAAGGAGATCATCAGAAAACTTGGCAAACTCCCAGAAACCTGTGCTAATGCTGATTTGTAATGACTGTTTCGATCAAATACAAGCAAGACCCCTATTGCGGGCAAGGTCAGCCGCAGGTGACTTCAACCCAGCCGTGCCCAGATACGATTCCACGCCCACTGGTCACTGAACTTCCTCCCAGAGTCCGGGCAGGATTTTCAATTAGCAGTCCTCCTGGTAACGAATCAATGATGATAACGGACTTCAACAAGCCAGAGCAGCAGCGGGCAGGCGGCGAGCACACCGCTCGTGTGCGACGCTGCTGGGCAGTGCCCACGCAGGCAACAGCCCAGCGGCTGGCGGGGCCGCGCAGTCACCGACTTCAATTGCGGCAAGGGAGATTGGGGTTGGGCATTAGACAAAGCCTTCTAACAGGAAGGATAATTAAGCATAGGAATAGATTGCCTGGGGAGGGACAGGAACTGCCATTCCCGGAGGTTTTACAAGCGGTGGGAAACATCTGTCACGCTGACCCCGCATTGGGCAGGGGGTGGATTAGGCAGCCGTTCAAAGACCCAGCTGTTTTCTGACAACTCCCCAAGCCCCCCAACTGATCTCCTACTTCAAACCGTTCCGACCCAGGAGCTGACAACAGCACACAACTAAACTTTGTTTAGAAGACAGCACTCAGGGAAAGCTGAGATTTAGAGTAACCGAAGGGCAGTGGACTGCAGGCAGGGCCTGGGCAAGCCCCCTGGCACCGCTCTGCCGGGCTGCTGGCACCCACTGCCACCCCGGGGCTGCCGTTCGGGCAGCGGGTTCCACGGGTGAGCACACAGCAGCCAAAAGGCAGAGCGATGCCCACCAAGCTCGCTCACAAGCCCACGCCTTCACACCCCGGATTTAGCCCGGCACAAGGCAGCCCTCCTCCGCCTCCTGCCCCACAGGACTGCGCCGAGACAGACAAACAAGTTACCTTTTTAACATTTTCCTCCTCCTCTTGGCGTTTCTCATAGTGTGAGAAGTCATCAAAGATGGAGGTGGTGTGCTTGTAGGTGGCAATGATTTTCAACACCTGCTTAGCCTTTTCCAGAGGCACCTCCTGAGTGTCCCTGGAGTTGGTCACTGGTTTATTCTCGTTGTTCTCTAGGCGGATGTGCCGCAGCTGGCTGTTGGGAACGTCCTTCACAAAAATCCACCTGACATCAAAACGTCCCTTCCACTTGTCCTGGGACCACACACCCGCACACGTGTTATAGTCCACAGCAGATTTCATTTCTGCTACTCCGCAGAAGTGACCACTACCGTTGACGCTGAACAGTAAGTAAACGGGGCCCTTCCCGTTCATGGAGCGGTAGGCGGCATCCAGTCTCTTGTTGCCGTGCTCTGTACTGCACCAGATGTTGTATTTAATGGAACGGTGGATATCGTCCTCAGAGTAACTCTTAATGATGAAAACCCGGCCGTGTTTTGGGTTCCAATCAAAATCCTTGGGGTTGTAGTTGTTGATGGATCTCAACTTCTCCAAGACTGGGTGCGGCTCTGAAGGAGCAGAACCAGAACTGGCCTGAGACTGTCCCACTCCGTTACCGTCCACTCCATTCTGCCCGAAGCCGCTGCCGCGATTGCGAGGGGCAACCCAGCGGGCGGGCTGAGCTGCCTGCTGTGGCATGGGCCGCCGGGCCGGGGCGACGGGGTTTTTGCCACCGGCCCTTTGTTATCCCAAGTTCCAATATCCATGTTATGTTTTATCGGAGGCGGTGGAAGGCTTGAACCTGCAATGCCGTTCTTGGTCTTCAGCTTGGGCTGCTGCTTAGCCGGTTTGCTAGCGATGTCAGCCCAGGAGGTCGGCTTCGGAGGAGCGATAGTAGCTGGAGGCAAACTGTTTGACGCCACGATATTACTGGTAATGGATCCGCTGCCGACAGCCGAACCCACGACTTTCGGGACGCTGCTTGCAACGTCTGTGCTGCCCAGCTTCAGAGCTGCCATCCCTTGGTCGATGGTGTTCATGCCAGGAGCCTTGTTCAGAGTCTCGTTAGCAAAAGCAGATTGCCCATCAATCATCGCTCCACCCAGCGAGCTAGGGGCATAGGCGTAATTGCTACTGTAGCCAGAGCTTTGAGTGGATTGTCCCTGAGAACTGTTATTCCCCCAAGCTGAAAAGTCGATCCCGCTTGGAAAGAAGTTAAAGCCGTGCTGCCCGAGAAATGGAGTGCTGCCAAGGGCCCCTGGCTGCCCGAACATCGCGTCTGGGAGAAAGTGCGGCTCCCCGTTGCTCAGCTGTCCGTAGGAGGTTAGGTAGGGCATGGGTGGGTCACCCCCCGTGGACCAGGCAGCTTCGCCCAAGGAGTAGGAGAATCCAATGGAGGGACTGTAGTAGTTTGGCAAGTAGGAATCGGACATTGCAGTGTATGCATTATTCTGGAAAAAAAAAAACAACACAAACCCACAAAAAATCAGCACTGAATAGTTCGAATGAGTTGAATATATTTCAAGGGACCAGGAATAAAAGCCATCTTTGACTTCCCATGCCCCACCCCTCCCTACCTCAGGGCTGGGCAGACAAACAGGCCCAGCCTTGAAACACCTCCTTTGTTAGAAGCGCTCTAAAAACTCTTCCATTGCCAGAAAGATTAAACACAAAGGCTTAGCAAGCTTCCCATGCTCAGATGGGAGCGCACGGTGCTCCTGATGCTTGATGTGGGACTGGACACCGGACTGTCCTCAAGCTCCTGCTCAGGCTATAAAACCAGCACCTTCCCTAGCATCCAAATGTTACCTTCTACTTTTTGTAGCTACTGCTGAAGAGGGTTTTTCCTGCCTGGGTGACGTACTTCTCAGCCCTTCTTCTAGTATTTGAGGGAGGGTTTGGGGAAAGGATGCAGAGAGAAGTGGAACATGGAGGTAAAAGGTCCAGTGAAAGTGCACTGCCAAAACCATGAACGTCCCTAACTGCCTTTCTTAAACTTATTACCTGTGGAAACAGCTTTATGCCCACAATTTAGAGTTTCAGAGCTCATAACATTCCAAGAACCTGCAAACAAACAGGGATTTAAAGCCTACTCCTCAAACCACAAACTGCTCCAGTGCCGCAGGCACATTCTAAAAAAATACTTGAAAATGGGGAGGAATCAATAGGGTTTCAACAGGAGCCTTTTATAGCACGGTGACAGCAGCAGCACAAGAAAGCAGCCTTCGGATTCAGTGAGGAAAAAAAGCTGCTCTGTGCCTTGGTCTTCCTTTTAACATCCAAGTAGCCTTTAGGTCACGAAAACAAATGCCTAATTTTACAATTAGGGAAGTCTCAGGCATCCCTGGGATTTGCTTACATGAAAAACATCTGTCATTTCACATTCAAAGCGGTGCCCCCTCCGGGGAGCGGTTAAAGCCACACTAATGGACATTATCACCCAGTAATTTGAACCTGTGTGCTCCACAGCCGCTTACACGCCAGCCCAACGCAGATGAGATGAAAGTCAGGTTCAGCTCCCGCTTAAAAGCCTGGCTTGCAGCAGGCTCTACTCCATTTTTCGTTGAATCATGTTTGCACGTGCCAAGTGCAGCTCCCAGAGGGCTTCACGCCATTCTGAAATCTATGGAGGCTCTCAACATGGCTCTGGTACCCTCCAGAAATAGCTGGTTTGCCTCTCCACCTTCCCACACGTTAGAGGAAAGCAACAGGTTTGGGGCTAACCCAGGCCCAACTTTACAAAAATTAACAGGAATTCTTTAACAGAATGTTTTTGGAGACAAGGTTTGTTTTGTTGTATAAAACACTAAAGCTTTCTGTGTTACTTCATGCTGTGAACGCATGAAAACTCACGGACACTCTCTCCAGCCTTTTGGTTTTCCCAAAGGGGTCCCAAAAGCAAACTCGTGCCGAACCTAACTCCCATCCAGGGCTCAGTTTCACTGATTGAGGAACTCGGGCTTGCTACACCCAAACCAACGAACGATCTTCAGGGCTCGCTCTGTCCAAAAGCACAGATACTGACACTGACTACTCTGTAAGGCAAATGAAGGAACTCAGGAAGAAAAAATTATTATTTTGAACCAGCAAAGTCTCTTCAAAAGATAATCCCCTCAATTATAAAAGTAACAATATACTCTCCTTGAAATTAGCTTTAATGGAACGTAAACGTGCTGGCCCGGACCTAAAACCTGAGCCCAGCAGGCAGAGCAGCCGTTTCCTCTCCCCAGGCTTCTCCCTCAAAGCACACAAAGCAAATTACCATCAGATTAAAACCTGTCCCCTCGTCACCTCATGATATTTTCTTCTGTGCTGTTAGATGTGTAACTTTGTGAGGTATTTTACCACAGCCTGTATCAAGCTGTTACCTGCAGAGCACTCACCAGCTACACTCGCGTGGTACGGAGGGAGCAGAGGAGCTGAACAACAGCTGAGCCAGCTCAGAGCAGATGCAAGACAGGCCCGCTGGTGTCACTGCCCCAATGTCTTGAACTCCGCTTCGCTCCCAAACACGCCACCTCGCTCTGCTACCCTGCACTCGCACAACTGACACAGTTACTGATTAGTATGCAAATAAAACTTCACCAGCTTTTAACTCTCTCCAATGACTAAGACTTTTTGTACAGTTATCTCCTCAAATCCACTATTCCTCCTCACCTCAAGACCAGAATCAGGGTTTAAGCTTACTTATTGTTGCTGTTGAGCTTTTGTTTTGTTTTTTTAAACCGCTGAGGAATCACTTACTGTGTATCTGAGCTTTAAAATACACAGTAACCTAATTTACTGGGGTGATAAGCCAGTAACTGCCGCACCTGAAACAGCAGCTCCCAAGCGAAGAGCCAGGAAGCTCCACAACTTGTTACCCAGCACCTGTGGGGAGAGCTCCACAAGCAACAGCAGAAACCACTGGCATTACCCTGCAGCAGTGGGGTGCATTTAATTGATTCTTCAGAGCCTTATGGGTAACTCCCTTTCCCATCTTCAGAGAAGAGCTGCACGCTTCGCTGCCTTTGTGTTTCTGACCCTGGCTGGCTGGCTCAGCAGAAACGTGGTCCCCTCCAGACTGAACCCCAGGGTTTTGGTTTCTGTTCTATCAGGGGTCAAAACACGATGAAAGCCAACAAGCAACACAGCACGGAGAGAAACTGAGATAAAGTCACCCTAAAGTCAATCACTTCCTTATTTTTAAAATACATCTTTATCAGTGTGACACATGCAAAGAGAAACTGAATATTCAGAAGTTCTCCACGAAACATGAAAAATAGGGTAATATCATGTTGCTTCTAGTATTATAGTAAACTCCACTCTCTTTAGGTGATTTACATAAAGCTACACTTTGCAGGAAACACTTCCACATTCAGAGGGAAGCTGGGAATCAGCAATGGCAACTTCTAGGAAAGAAAAACCCCACCATTAAGTGATACCTATGACACAAGTAGCTAGTTTTCTTCAAGACCTGAGAAAGCAATCACCCTCTCTCACCCTACGCAGGTCCAACTTAGGCTTGTAACTTCTTAGGGAGCTGCAGGCAGTCAGTTATCCTAACAGGTGGGCTGAATTCTGAAGATCACAGAACAGCTGACAGGACCTTACACACATTTAGCCTCATGTCTTCAGCACAAACTAGGAAAATACTTGTTGAAAATTTAACTCAGACAGAAAGCCATTCCTGTGTTTCAATAAAACATGCACTGCTTATCTGAAAAAATACACTGACTAGTAAAAATGATCAAAAAAATAGAAAAAGGGAAAACCAGAACAGCTTATTTTTGCTAATCACCACTGGGGGGAAAGAGGAGCCAAGAGACTGAACTAACTGCTCCAGTGCTACTACAGATGTTTATCTCTAACACTGACTTGTACCAGCTCATCAGCTGAACTCCATCTGTTATGTGTCACTCTCTCACCGCTCATTACGAAAACCAAACAAAAAACAGTTAACAGCAGAGCTAATCTTACAGCAAAAGTTAAAAGGAAAAGCAGCTGGAAGTCTGACTTTCACGAGCTGATCATCAGATCGACTTCTAACTAAAGTTCTCAACAAGTCTTAGCAGCCCCTATCACATGTGTGTTCTGTGGGGTTTTTTGGGGACAAAGAGAGAAAACCCCATGATATGTATTTTCAGTTTTCGTGGCAGAGAGATAAAAACATTGCTAGCATCCTCCAAAAGCCCTCGAAGCACAACTGCACCATGTGAAGCAATTTCACAATGCAATCCAGTGCATCTCCTCGTACCGGGTAAAGAACCAGAAACCAGCAAGGAAATGAGGTCGTAACAGTAAAACTGAAAGAGCAGAAATGGTAACTTCAAGGCAGTTAGGCTGACAGAAGTGAGCCAAACACCAACTGTAGGAAGTCCCTACATCTCCCAAAAGTTGCTAAAAACTCTATACCTCACCCACCATAACCGAAGAGATTTTAGTGTTTTCTGCCTGGGGAAAGGCACACATGGAATAGCGCGTTATGGTGCGAAAGCTGGCAAAGAGCAGAGCGCGGTAAGCGGAGATTGAGCAACACAAAGATGCCAAATTCGCCTTCAGCAGAGAGCAGGGGGAAGCCCCGGGGCAGCAGGTACTCACCGGCCGGGCCTGAGGGCTCAAGTAGGGCTCAAAGTCATCGTCGTTTAACCCATCCTTCTGATGCACAGATCCGTTTTGCACTGGGGGAAAGAGGCAGAGCGTCAGCAAGCACTCCGCCGACACACCCCAACGCTCACCCGCCTGAAGCATCCGCAGATGGACCCCGCCAGGGAACCGCTGCTCAGCAGCCCGGAGCAGACCGCGC